GTGTGTGTGTGTGTGTGTGTGTGTGGCGTGGTGGGGGGGGCGCAGGCCAGGCATTACTTTCACACGGAGCAGGGTGAGAACACCGATGAGGATGAGGATGCCGAGGGGGATGATGATACCGATAAGGATGAGGGCACCAGGGTGGATGAGGATATCCAGGATGAGAATGAGGAGGGCGATGATGCCGAGGATTCTGAGGATGAGGATGAAGCGGTGCCGAGGAGGGGTGAGGATGAGGACGCCGAGGAAGGTGATGCTGAAGATGCCGGGGGGGATGAGCATAAGGATCAGGAGTAGGAGGGGGGACGCCGAGGAGGATGAGGATGAGGATGAGGATGCTGGGGGGGATGAGGGTGGGGAAGAGGATGCCCAGGAGGATGAAGATCAGGATGCCGAGGAGGGTATATGAGGGCGAAGATGAGGGTGAGGATGCAACGCCCCCCGCGGCTGGAGGCTCAGAAGAATACCTTGGCAGCGCTGGGCGTCGTCGGCTGCGGACTTCGATTTAGTCAGGAGCTGATGGGGGGCCGCAGGGGTAGGATGAGGGGATAATGTTTGCTAGCCTTGTATGTGTATGAGCACGCAGATACGTGTGTCTGTATGTATGTATGTATATATGTATGTGTGCATGCATGTATTCGTGCATGACTGCATGCATGTATGTATGTATGTTTGTTTGTTTGTATGTATGTATATATATGTATATATGTATGTGTATGCATGTATGCAAGTATGCAAGTATGCGTGCATGTAGATATGTACGTTTGCATGTATATGTATACATGTATGTATGTATGTATGCATGTATGTATGTATATACGTCTGCATGCATGCATGCATGCATGCATGCACGAATGTAAGTATGCATGTATGTATGCAGTCATGTAAGCATGTGTGCGTGGGTGCATGTATGCATGTATGTGTTTTATGCGTGCACGTATGTATGTATGTATGTATGTATGTGTGTGTATGTGTGTGTATGTATGTATGCATGTATGCATGCATGCATGCATGCGTGCATGTATGTTTGTATGTGTGTACGTACGTATTTATGCAGATCTGTGTGTATTATGTACATATTTGTGTATCTGTATATATGTCCGTGCATTTTAAATGTCACATTCACGTCTGCCCTCGCTCTCGATAGCGACGGCGCCCAGCCCACCTGCTCGGGGGACGCTGAGAAAGAGAGAGAGAGAGAGAGAGAGAGAGAGAGAGAGAGAGAGAGAGAGAGAGAGAGAGAGAGAGAGAGAGAGAGACGAGGAGAGATGGAGAGAGAGAGCGAGAGAGAGAGACGAGAGATAGAGATGAGAGAGATGACGAGGAGAAGAGAGAGGAGAGACGAGAGAGAGAGAGAGAGAGACGAGAGAGAGAGAGGAGAAGAGAAGAGAGAGGAGGAGAGATTGAGGAGAGTAGAAGAGAGAGAAAGAAAGAGAGAAAGAGAAAGGGATGAGAGGAGAGAGAGAGAGAGAGAGAGAGAGAGAGAGAGAGAGAGAGAGAGAGAGAGGGATCATGGGCAGGAAGCGTGAGCCAAGGCGTACCAGCACAAGTACCAGCAGGGATGCAAGCAAAACCACGGCCGCATGCCCCAGAAGAAGCGAGTCCATGGCGTGAAGTTCTCGCTCCCGCGCCGTTCCTATGCATGTTATGGTGAGGGTTAAGGCGTGGAAGCGAAGGGAGAGAAGGGGGGGGGGGGGGGGGGGGGGGGGGCGCGATGAGGGCGGAGCAGGATGAGGGCGAGGATGAGGACGAGGAGGAGGATGGCGAGGATGAGGGCGAGGACGAGGGCGAGAACGAGGATGAGTTTTGATGACGAGGAGGATGATGATGACGAAATTGATGACTAGGACGAGGATGAGTCAGAGTGAGGACGAACGATTCGGGGGATGATGATAATGATGATAATGCTGACGAGGGTGAGGATGGGGGCGAATATGATGAGCATAAGGGTGACTACGACGATGGCGATGAAGACCAGGATGATGGCGAGGATGGGGGCGACGACGAGGATGAGTCAGGGTGAGGACGAGGATTCAAATGATGAGGATGAGGCTGAGGATGATGATGAGGAGGAGGATGGTGAGGAGGAAGCAGAGGGTTAGACGAGCTAGCTGATGACGGCGTCCCCACGCGCGCCTCAGGTTCCTACAAGCGCGCGCGCCGAGGATCATGTTTTCCCACTTCAAGCGGACCCAGGATTGAGGGAGGGGCGGGGGGAGGGTGCGGGGAGCACTGTCCAGTTTCAGATTGCTTGACGTTGATATTAGGGGGGGAGGGGGGTGGGCCCGCGGGAGGGAGGAGATGGGGGGGGGGAGGACAGAGGGGGGGGGAAAAAAAAAAACAAAAAAAGGATAGAGGGGTGTTCCCTACGAACGAGGGAGAGCGAGAGGGGGAGGGAGGGGGGGGGGGGGGCAGGCAGGCGAGAGAGGAGGGGGGAGAGGGGGGGGGAACGGAAAGGGGGGACCGGGGAGGGAGGGGGAGGAGGAATGAGGAGAGGGAGGGGGTGGGTGGGGCCCCCCCCGAGACAAGGATCTAGGTAAAGATAATGATAGCAGGATGAGGATATCCAGGATGCTGGGATGAGTAGCGCCACGAGCATCGCCAGCGGCAGCGCAATACTGGGGGGTGGTCAGGACCTTACCGACGACGACACATATTCCGACGAGGACGTGAGCCACGTGGAGCTACAGGAGTACTTCTCCAATGCGATGTGCGAGGAGTTCCGTGAGGATCCGAAATCGTTGTATTTGGTTATGTCTGGGCCTATTGATCCCGATCCTCCTCCTCATCCTCCTACTCCTCCTCCTTATCCTCCTCCTCCTCCCATCGGGGCCTATCCCCATCCTCCTCCTCATGCTCTCCCTTTTCCTCGTCCTCGTCCTCGTCCTCGTCCTCCTCCTCCTCCTCCTCCTCCTCGTCTTCATCCACCCCGCCCGTCGCCGTCCTGCAACTCCCCCCCATGAATATTATTAATCGCTTCGCTCATTCCGCCAGCCCGTATTGTCGCGCCGTTGTGGGCTAGCCGAGTTTTGGGGCCTCTTGGGGGCCGTTTTGGGGCTTCTTTTGGGCCTCTTGGGCGCCTCTTGGGGCGTCTTGGGGGCCTCTTGGGGGCCTCTTGGGGCCTTTTTGGGGCTTCCTGGGTGCCTTCTGGGGCGGAGGGCTCGATTTTTCAGTTCTCGGTTCCCCTCTTCAGCCCCTCTTGGGCCCGTCTTGGGGCCTCTTGGTCCGTCTTGGGCGGCGCTTGGGCCGTCTTGGGGGCCCTCCTGGGCCGTTCCGGGGCCGTCTTGGGAGCCTCGTGGGCCGTCTTGGAGCGGTCTTGGGGGCCTCTTGGGTCGTCTTGGAGCGTCCGGAAGCAGAAAAAACCAGAACGCAAAAAAACATCGAACAAAAACAATGAAAATCAACGATTTTGGCCTCTTGGGGCCCTCGTCGGAGGCCTCTTGGAAGGCCCTTGGGGCGTCTTGGAGGCCTCTTGGGCTGTCTTGGGGCCCTGTTGGCCGTCTTCGGGCGATCTTTGGCCGTCTCGGGGCCCTCTTGGACCGTCTTGGAGGCTTCTTGGGGACCTCTTGGCCCGTCCTGGGGCCCTGTAACAGAACTCCGGCATCTCTGGCCCGACCTTGCCGGGGACTTGCCGGGGCCTTGCCGGGGTACTTTTCGTCCGGGGACCCCCAGGGGCCGCCCCGCGCGCGCGAACTAGAAATACTTTTAACCAGGTACCGGAGATCTTAGCACGCCCTGGCCCGTTGGGCCGGCGAATTATGTCATTTGAGGTGCCCCGTGACCCCAGCGACTCGACTGTGCGTTGCCTTTGTCGCCCTCGGTGTTGGAAGGCTGGGGGTTCCTGGGTCGATGGCCCTCGAAACACCTTGCGAGGTCATGCAGTCCTCAATCCATATATATATATATATATATATATATATATATATATATATATGTAGACACCCCCCTCGCCAGGAGACCTTCCCTACCGCTTCCCTCGTCTTCGCCGGAGCCTGGGCCCCGAGACCGTGCTTGTCGACAGCGTGGGCCCCGGAGGTCTCGACCCACTCCCCGGGACCAGCTTGTCATCTTGAGCGTAAGCAGACTGAGGGTAGCGGTGCGCCCTTGCCCCTGGTCCTGTCCTCCTCCTCCTCCTCCTCCCCTTCCCCTCCCTCCCTCCCTCCTCCATCCATGCCCCTCCTCCTCCTCCCTTTCCTGGCCAGGGCCCCCAGGGGCCGAACATAGCAAGAGCCTCCCGTCGTCTTTTGCACGACGCGAGGGGGTCTGGGAGGGATTCGTCGCCACGGGTGGATTTCGCCTCGACAGCCTGGTCGGAGCGCGGCCAGGAGGTCCGAGGAGAACGGCAGGTTCGCGTCGTGTCGACCGGCGGCGACCCCGCCGCTGGAGTTCAACGTTTGAACGCCGTTGGCGACCCAGAATCGGTCGATGTTGAACGGTCTGACGTTTCGGAAGCGGCCGATCGTTCGAGGTTGAACGTTCCCCGCGGTGTCAGTATTTGGAGGGCGAAGAACGGTATAACATAATCTTTTCCATCACCGGGGGCGCCTGTCCCAGGGTGGCAGGAAAGTTGATACCTTGACGTGCTACCGTAAGGGTAGAAAGTTTCCAGCCGCCCTGGGACAGGCGCCCCCGACAGCGAAGCGGTTTATTTTCTACCGTTCTTCGCCCGTGAAAGTAGCCAACTCCTGGGTCGACACGGCACGAACTTGCCGCAGCGGCACTGGTACCTTCTGGGTCCCCCAGGTGGGTGCGCTGGCACGGGAGCGCCCTCGAGGAGGAGGAGGAGGACGAGGAGGAGGAGGAGGAGGAGGAGGAGGAGGAGGAGGAGGATGAGGAGGAGGAGACGAGGAGGAGGAAGGAGGAGGAGGAGGAGGAGGAGGAGGAGGAGGAGGGGAGGGGAGGAGGAGGGAGGAGGAGGAGGAGGAGGAGGAGGAGGAGGAGGAGGAGGAGGAGGAGGGAGGCGGAGGAGGAGCAGCGGTACTGGTACCTTCTGGCTTCCCCAGGTGGGTGCGCTGGCACGGGAGCGCCCTCGAGGGGTGCGCCTCGGCGGGCGCCAGCCGTGGCCTCGCGCGGGTCCTGGCCATAAGCCTGCTCTGGGCCCAGGGGGTCGGGCTCAAGTCGGGCTTGGATTCAAAACTAGTCAAACAATGGTCTGGGCACGATGTTTTGTTGACTATTTTTGCTAATTTGTTGAATATTTTTGACTACTTGTTATTTTTCCTCCAAAATCAGCCTGTAGGGGGACATGCCCGACCTAATTCTAAGAGGGCACAGAGGCTTCTAAGAGGGTTTCTTAGGAGCAGCGGGGGCTTCTAAGAATCGATGGTGCATAGCGAGGGGTTTGAGCCCAAAGGCAGGAGCAGGAAGCAGACCGATTCGGATGCAACTCCTGGGAGGTCAAATTCTGATTGTGCCCTGGTCCGAAATCCGGCTCACTCCGGCTGAATCCAGCTTAATCCCGCTCCATCCGGTTGAATCCCGCTTCTTCCGCGGCCCAAGTCAGCGTAAGAGCCCCCTAATGGGGCTTCATCTTCCACAAGCATCCCGACGAAGACCTCCTGGCAGTTGCCTCCTGACCTGGTCCAGCAGGGAGTGCCCGCCGAGCCTGGGCCCCGGGCGTGCCTGGCCAGGGCCGGCCGGCGCGCGGCGCGTGGCCGGCGCCCTGCCGGAGGTACGGCCCGCGGGCGGCCCAGCTCGCCGAGCGGTCCAGCGGCCTCTTCCTCGGGTGCTGCCAGGGGTGCCCCTGGCCCGAGGTGCCCCCCGGGCTTTCCGAGGAGGCCCCCGCGGCCTCCAGAGCACCCATCACGAGGCCCAGATCCTGATCATTGGATGCTGGAGCTTCCAGTCGCGACCGACGAGATCGCGCTGCCGATTTTGCTTCGAGTTTCGGTATCGGTCGCGATGGATTTGCTTCAGAATCGGTCGCGACCGATCGGTCGCGGTCGGTGGCGACCGGTCGCGACCGATTCGGAGTGCCGACCGGTCGCTACCGATCGCGACTGGAAAAGATTGGCGTCCAATGATCAGGGGATGGTCCCAGGGTCCCCGGAATGGCGCGAAGAGCCCGGGGGCACCCTGGGCCAGGGGCACCCTGGGCAGCCCCCAGCCCTCGTGGACCCCTCGCTGTGCCTGGGGGCCGGGCAGATCCTGCGCGTGGAGTTCGTGGCCAGCGGCCCGGGGCGCTGCTTCCGCCTGTTCGCCGTGGGGGAGGCGGTGCGGTTCGTGGACGACGTGAGCGCCAGCGCTGCCGGGCTGAACGCGAAGGAACCCGCATGGATCAGGTCCTCCTAGACGTCGGCGTCACCCTAGCATGATTGCTGATACCAGAATGGTGTATATAGTCGTCGTGGCGGGCGCTCTCTGGCCACACCGCTCGGGGAACGATATGCTACAAGATGGGTATATATCTGTTCGGGTCGGACGCGCGCCTCCAAGGATGACATCTAGTACTAGTACAGTGAGTACTAGTACAGTGGGGGCCCGTGGCAAGAAACAGCCTGCTCGCCGCCAGGGTGCCCTGGGTTTCTGGGTTTCTTGGGTCTCGATGGTTTTGCTATGGACAGCGTGACTTTCCCACAGCAAACATCAATGAGTGGGGTTTCTTGTGGAAGGTTTCTTGTGGACTGGCGTCCACTGTCCCAACACTATGTGTGCGTCGCCCCCCCCCCCCCCCCCCGGAGGCGACGCGCGCACCGAGTAATCTCATGGTATACACGCGTCGTGGCGGGCGCTCTCTGGCCACACCGCTCGGGGAACAATATGCTCTAAGATGGGTATACTATCTGGTCGGGTCGGACGTGCGCCTCCAAGGAGGACATCTAGTACTAGTACAGTGGGGGCCCTGAGTTTCTTGGGTTTCGATGATTTTGCTGTGGAAAGCGCGACGTTCCCACATCAAAAGTCCATGGGCGTCCTGGTGTCTCAGGGTGGTGTTTCTTGTGGAAGGTTTCTTGTGGTCGGGCCTCCACTCTACTATATGATATATGTTCGGGTCGGACGCGCGCCTCCAAGGAGGACATCTAGTGCTAGTGTGTCTCCGTGCGTCCCAAGACGCCCGCGTCGTGAGCGAGGCCGCGACGGGAGGTTTTGGGGGCCGCTCCTGCGGCCTCAGGGGGCGCCCTCTCGCCGTGCCCCAGGGCCGTCAGAGAGCGCTTTTTGACGAGCACGTCCTGGATTTTGACGGTCCAGTCTTCGAGGGATGTTTGCAGCCGGAGTTCGCGTCAAATGTCAGATTGGGGCTCGTCATTTTCCTGACGGCCCCGTCAGGCCACCCAGAGTCCCCCGTGCCGGAGTCTTGCGCTTGCCCGAGAGAGGAGGACCGGGACTTTTTTTCGGGGAGCTCCGTGCTAGAGAGCACTTTGGGCATCGCATGTCCCGTGAGATTTTGCCGCTGCAGTTTTCCCACAACCTGCGTTTGCGCTCCATCGCGGGCCCCGGGACCCTCACAGCTCGCTCCGGCTCGAAGGTGATGTAGGCAGTAGGGTCTAGGGATTTGGGCGTGTTCTTTACGATGTTGCAATTTTTGTTTGCAACGTCGGATCTCAGGGTCTGTCACCACCCACCAAACCACACCAATCCAACCCTAAGGCCCCAAATTGCCCTCCATTCCGTGTGGGGGGGCGTCGGGGAACACTGAAAAAGCACGTGGGGCCCGTACCCCCCCCAAGCCGAAATTCGGGCCTTCGGGTTGGGTCGGCGTGGTTTGGTAGGTAGTCCATTAGGGCATCGCATGTCTGGGTCCTCCGGACGGTCGAAATGGGGACAGGAAGAATGGGGAGCTGAATCCAGCAGCAGTTCTGGCCCAATCGGGGCCAGATTCGCTGTCGGTGCCGCCGCGGGCGTCGTCCGCTTGATGCAAGCGTCGCGTGCCCAACAGCGGCCGCTGTTGGCTTTGGGCAGTGCTCAGTGGTGGGCATGGGAGAATTCCTCATTCCCCTGACAAGAACGGGCGTGACCCAGATGGGTAGAGGGGGGGTTGGTGGTGGACCGGGCGGGTATCGTCACGATTCGCGCGGGCGCCGTCTGGGAACGCTCAGGCATGACTGATCTTCAGATGGGCGCCGACGCGGATCGTGACGTATCCTGGGGGGGGCGGGCGGCGGCGGGGCTGGTGACGGGGGTAATTTGAGCGAATGATGCACAAATATGCTCCATCGTCTCCAGGTCTTCTGTCCTCATTTCGGGCGTGCCAAGGTCCACTGGGGTCGCCCCGGAGGCCTGGGGCTGGTTCAGAGATGACGCCATCCCCTGGAGCTTCGAGGCGCGCGAGTGCATCGGGTTCGGATTCGCCCCCACCAGCGACGCCGACGACTCGTGCAGGGTGCCCTTCTCGAGGGCGGCCGGCGGGCGCCGCGTAGTGCGCTTTTCTGGCATGGACCTGGAGGATGAGAGCCTGCTTCGGGGCGGGCAGGAGTACACCAAGTGGGAGTCCACCCGAGTGCATGCCGTCAGGGTCCTGTGGGCAAACCTGACCGAGCGCAGCGTGGCGTCACTGGACGAGGCGCTGGCCGATGGGGTTGACGCCGAGTTCGAGCAGCTGCGGCGCGCGGTGCACCTGCGGGGGTCCCTCGTGCACCCCTCGGTTGCGCAGCGCGCCGCGCGCGCGTCCGAGCTCCTGGCGGGGATCTCCGGGGAGAAAAAAATACACCGATGCCGGAACCGCGACCCTTCCTCGTTTTCGCTGTTTTCAGCCTCTCCCAGAGTGCCCTTCTGAGCCCGCGTGGCGCCTGAGCCTGTTCGGCCACCGAAAGGGCCGCCGGACGGGTTCCGTTGCTGCCGGTCTCGGGGGGAGCGAGCCCGTGCGGCCGCCGAATGGCCTCGATCTTGAGTCCGTGCGGCGGCCGAACGCGCTCAGCCACCGAGCGGTCTCCGAAGGGAACCCTGGGGTCCTGGGATGCGCTCGTCGCCACGGCTGGACTCGCCTCTTGATCCTGGCCAGAACGCTCCCTGGTAGAGGTTCAGGGAGTCGCGGTAGCGGTATCTTGTGGTCTTCCCAGGGTCGAGGGCGCGATGGCGGCGCTCATGGTCCAAAGCTGCCAGGTGACGATGATGATGGTGACGATGATGATGATGATGATGATGATGATGATGATGATGATGATGATGATGATGATGATGATGATGATGATGATGCTGAGGATGATGAGGATGATGATGATGATGATGATGATGACGATGGTGATGGTGATGATGATGATGATGATGATGGTGATTTTGATGATGATGAGGCGATTCTGGTGATGATGAGGATGATGATGATTGCGCTGATGATGATGATGATGATGCTGACGCTGATGATGATGCTGCTGATGATGATAATGATGCTGCTGGTGCTGATGATGATGCTGATGACGATGATGACGATGATGCTGCTGATGATGCTGCTGATAGTGACGATGATGATGCTGATGCTGATGCTGATACTGATGCTGACGATGATAACGACGACGATGATGGTGATGATGATGATGATGATGATGATGATGATGGTGATGACGGCGACGACGATGGCGACGATGAGTGCCGATGATGATGATGATGATGATGATGATGATGATGATGATGATGATGATGATGATGATGATGATGATGATGCTGATGATGATGATGATGATGATGATGATGACGATGGTGGCTGTGATGGTGGTGGTGGTGACGACCACGACGAAGCTGCTGCTGCTGATGCTGCTGATGACGATGATGATGACGACGGGGATGATCATGATGCTGATGATGATGATGATGATGATGCTGGTGATTATGATGATCATGATGGTTGTGGTGGTGGTGGTGGTGATGGTGATGATGCCGATGCTCATTATCATGGCGATGACGATGATGCTGATGACGATGACGATGCTGATGATTATGCTGATGATGACGAGGCGGATGATGCAGATAATTATGATGACGATGATGATGTTGGTGATGCTGATGATGATGATGATGATGATGATGATGATGATGGTGATGATGGTGACGATGATGATGTTGATGCTTAGGATCGTGATGCAGCTGCTGATGATGGTGCTGATTATGATGATGATGGTGATGCTGGTACTGACGACGATGATGATGATGGTGATGATTACGACGATGCTGCTTACGATGATAACGATCATGATCATGATTGTGATGATGCTGCTGATGATAATGATGATGATTATGATAATGGTGGTGGTGGTGATGACGACGGTGATGATGATGATGATGGTGGTGGTGATGGTGGCGATGCTGATGCTGCTCATGGTGATGCTGATGATGATGGCTACGATGACGGTGATGATGAGGAGGATGAGGAGGATGAGGAGGAGGATCAAGATGAGGATGAGGATGATGATGCTGATGATGATGATGATGATGATGATGAGGTTGATGATGATGATGATGATGATCATTACGATGGTGCTGATGATGATGATGACGATGACTATGACGATGATGGTGATGATGATGATGGTGATGATGACTACGATGGTGATGATGATGCTGCTGATGATGAGGATGATGACGATGAGGATGAGGTGGATCAAGATGAGGATGAGGATGATGATGATGATGATGATGATGATGCTGATGCTGATGCTGATGATGATGATGATGATGATGATGATGCTGATGATGATGATGATGATGATGATGATGATGATGATGCTGATGATGATGATGATGATGATCATCATCATCATCATCATCATGCTGCCTGAGCTACTGCTGCTGCTGCTGCTAATTCTGATGCTGCTGCTGCTGCTGCTGATGATGATGATTCCGATGATGGCCCAGCTCTGCCAGGTCCTCTTCTTCACGCTGGTGCAGCACGATGCCCCCCGCGGGCGGGAGGAAGACCACCGGCGGTGGACGGCGCGCTTCGACCACCTCGTGGGCCTCGCCGCGTGCGTCGCCGCCGCCGCGGCCTGCGGCAGCGGGGCCCCGCCGCAGTGGGCCGCGGACGTGCTGGGCCTGGCGCTGAACCTCTGGGCCAACGTCTGGGCGCTGCCCGAGCACTCCGCCTGGGGCCTCGGCTTCTGGGACGTACGGCTGCTGGCCGCGGGCGAGCGACGGAAAGGAAGCTCCCAGGCCTCGCGGACGGGGTCCGAGCAGATGGGGTGGAAGGATCGCGCCGCATCGCCGATGCCATCGGCGATGTGGCTCGATGTGGAGCCCTGCTTGCCTCGCCCATCGCGCCGCCTCGCCCATCCATCGTCGATGCGTCGGCGATGCATCGGCCACGTCGGCGATGCGTCGGCGCCGGCCGGCGTGAGGCAAGCAGGGCTCCACATCGAGCCACATCGCCGATGGCATCGGCGATGCGGCGCGATCCTCCGACCCCTATCTACTCGGACCCCATCTGGGAGGCCTCTAGAAACGGGGTCGACTGCGCGGACAGTGGCGCGCGAGCTCCCCGTCGCCAGGTTGCGCGCGAGCGCCCTCGTCTCCACGCAGAGTGCCGCGCTGGCGGCCCGCGTGAGCCACCGCGCAAGGTCGCCCATTGGCACGCCCGCGTGTGGGTACGGAACACATGGGTACAGTCGGGCCGAGGTTTGAGATCGATTGCTGGAAGTTCTTGTGCACCCTGGGGAGGGTGCCCTTGGCTGTTCGGTCTGTTTTGGCCGACGGAGGGTCTCATGTTCTTGAGTGATGTTCTTCTGGCCAAGGTCCGACTGTACTATGCCGAAGAAGCCCTGGGGGATGAGCGAGGGTCCTGGTCGTGGTCTGGTTTGCAAAGCGGTTACGGGGCTGCATCGCCCCCTGCGTTTTTGAGAGTTTTCGGTTTGCTGTTCTTTTTCGTGTTTTTTTTGTGTGTGTGTGTGGGTCGTTTGATTGTTTTTTTGGAGGGGACTCTGTCTGAATCGTTTCCGTTTTCGTTTCCTGGTTTCTCGTGCGTCGGTGGGGTATGGCCAGGAATGCGCCTGGCGCTTTGTGGGAGGGGGGGGCCTTGAGAAGGGGGGCGCCGTTTGGTCACGCTTTCGATTGTGCGACCCCTCGCACAATCGTATTCGTTACCAGGGGGAAGGGTTTGCAACTTGGGTGGTTGGGGCGAACAAAAATACAGAACAAACGAACCATCCAAGAGTTCTTTTTTTGTTTTCCCACCCCCCGCCTCCCTCCCTCCTCCCCTCCCCTCCTCCCCCTCCTCCCGCCCGGGTCGTAGTCGTAGTCGTAGTCGTAGTCGTAGTAATCGTAGTAGTCGTAGTAGTCGTAGTAGTGATAGCAGTCGTAATCATAGTCGTAGTCGTCGTCGTAGTAATCGTAGTAGTCCTAGTAGTAGTAGTAGTAGTAGTAGTAGTCGTCGTCGTCGTCGTCGTCGTCGTCGTCGTCGTCGTCGTCGTCGTCGTCGTCGTCGTCGTAGTGGTAGTGGTAGTGGTAGTGGTAGTGGTAGTGGTAGTGGTAGTGGTAGTGGTAGTAGTGGTAGTGGTAGTGGTAGTGGTAGTGGTAGTGGTAGTAGTAGTAGTAGTAGTAGTAGTAGTAGTAGTAGTAGTAGTAGTAGTAGTAGTAGTCGTAGTAGTAGTAGTAGTAGTAGTAGTCGTAGTAGTAGTAGTAGT